TTCTTCTTCTTCTTCTTCTTCTTCTTCTTCTTCTTCTTCTTCTTCTTCTTTTTTTTCTTTTTCTTTTTAGTTTCTTGAGACAGGGTTTCTCTGTAGCTTTGGAGCCTGTCATGGAACTGGCTCTTGTAGACCAGGTTGGCCTTGAAATTTCCAAATGCTAGGATTAAAGGCATGCGCCGCCACCACTGCCCGGCTCCACATTTTCTATTTAAGGTTTTTTTGGTTTGTTTATTTGATTGCTGGTATGTGTTTGTGTGCACGCATGTGCACGTGTGTGTGTGTGTGTGTGTGTGTGTGTGTGTGTGTGAGAGAGAGAGAGAGAGAGAGAGAGAGAGAGAGAGAGAGAGTACACATTGACCCTGAGGCCTTATGCATGGTAAGCAAGTACTGTACTAGTAGTCCATTTATCTATTTTCATTTTGAGATAGGGATGTCACATAATTGTCCAGGCTGCTATTAAAATTTACTCTGTAGCCCCTGCAAACATAAACGTGTGGTTTCCTGCCCCAGCCTTCCAAGTAGTTAGAATTACAGGCGGTGGACCTTGGCCAACAGGCTTGACTAGTTAACATTTTTAATTTTCTTGTTGTTGACAGTGCTGTGGTTGGGACCTAGGACCTTACACATGCTATGTGAGCACTCTACCAATGGGCGCAGCCCTGTTTTTACGTTTTAAAGTATTAGAATATGATGGTTGGGGAAATGGCTCAGTGGATAAGAACAGTTGCTGTACAGTTTCACTTCTCAACACCAACATAAAAAGCTGGGTGTGGGAGCTTTAGAGATGACTTCAGCATGTTAAAAAAGGTTTGCTGCTCTTTCAAAGGATGCTAGTTCGGTCCTGGTATCTGTGTTAGGCATCCTATAACTCCAGCTCCAGGGGATCTATTACCTTTTTCTCACTGTCATGGATGCACACACCCAAGTATATGTACACAAACACATAAACTCTTCCTTGAAAAGCCTGACATGACCATGAGCGCATGTAACACAAGTGCTGTAGGTGAGTGACAGAAACATGAGGACCAGTGGGGCTTGATGCCTCCAAGTCTGTTCCAGGTTCAATAAAAGATCCCATGCCAAAAGAATAAAGTAGACAAAGGTAGACCACATACACACATATAGCTGGGCCCTAATGTCTTCCTTGGGTGAGGAGATAAGAAGGCGAGGCATCAACAACTGTAGATGCTGAGAGTCTGGTGAAAGGGAGAAAGCAGACTCATTGGTTTGCCAACAGAAAAAGCTTATAACCTACCCCCCACCACCCAGGCCTTTAGGTCCTTTGACGGTTGACATATAGCATGATCAGTTCTCCTTGGCTAGGCATGATCAGGACCTCTAGCTTTTTTTCTAGCGCCTTTTCTAGCTCTTCAGGCAACATTACGTGGTCCCTCATTGGCGAGGTATGACCAGGACCTCTGACCATGCCAAGCAGATTCCAGATTGATTCCGTTTGGCCTGGTAGGCCTTAACTTCCTACATAAACACACACAAAATATATACATTATAATTTGGCCTTTAGGTGTCTTTGTCCTCCCCTGGCCAATAGTGAGGCGTGAAGTGGTCGTGTTCTTCAGACTAGCATCTTTCAGAGCTGTTTCTCTTCCATACTTCCTTCTATTGAGCGCAGCTATGTATACACTTTCCAACACTTCTTCCTCTCCTTATCTTTGCTCTCTTTTCAAAGAAATTTCTTTACTCATCTTTATGGTGTAAACATTTTCACACACGCAGGTGTGTGTACTGTGCATGTGCATCATTTCCATAAAGGATAGATTCAAATCCCCTGGAACTGGAATGCGGAGAGTTGTAAGCTGCCATGTTGGTGCTGGGACTTGAACCTGGGTCCTCCAGAAGAGTAGTCAGTGCCTTGAACTACTGAGCCAACTCTAGAGATCCCTGTCTTTATCTTTTCAAGAGAGGTGACAGCTTTATATAGAAATAGGTATTTATGCTCAATTAAATCGATTTTGGAATCTTACATAAATGACTATTTTCTGTAGCAAGATCTTAAATAATACAATTTTCCTCTATAACGTGGGTCAGTGTTGATGCTTGTCACCCACCAAACCTCACAAGCTGAGTCCAGTCCCCGAAACCTATACAACTGTAGGAGAGACTCGGTGCCCACATGTTTTCTTGTGCGTTCCACCATCACTGCGGCACATTTCATAAACACACGCTCACGAATAAGTGGCATAATTTTAAAATGTCAAAAATATGAATCATAAAAAGACCTCGTAAAAGCAGAATGCTTCGTGGTTTAAGACAGCGAAATTTATGGACCTGGAAGAATTTCCAAGACAGCATGGCATTTTTTTATTTTGTATTATTTTTTATTTGGGGGTTGGAGATTGGTTTAGTTTTTTCGAGACACAGTTTATCTGTGTAGCCCTGGCTATCCTTGCTCACTCTGTAGACCAGGCTGGCCTCAAACTCACTGAGATCCGCCTGTCTCTGCCTAACAATGGCTGGTATCAAAGGTGCGAGCGGCCACCGCCTGTGCAGCTTCCATTTTGTGTGTCTTTTTGTTGTTTGTTTAGAAACAGGGTTTCACTGGTTACCAGCCTGGCCTTAAACTCATCTCATTTGCTGTCTCAGCCACCAGACAGATTTTTTTTTAATCTTTTTACCCTGTCTCTAGAACTAAGTTTTTTCTCACTGTTAGTGTGTGTGTGTGTGTGTGTGTGTGTGTGTGTTTCTGTGGGTACACATGCAGGTCAGCGGTAAATCTAGAGTGGCATCTTTGCCTTCTACCTGGTTTGAAACAGGATCTCTTTGTTATTTACCTGCGTACACCAGGAACACCTTCAGCTTTCATTTTCAGGAGCACTGGGTTTACAGATGCTCACAGTACACACCCAGCTTTAACCTTGGTCGTGGGGATTCAGACTTAGGTCCTCAGGCTTGACGCACAAGTGCTTTTACCCCCATATCCCTAGCCCCACTTTGAATTTTTTTTTTGTTATAATAGGTAATTAATTATTTTTTATGTTTTTAAAAACAGGAAACAAACTATATTTTCATTTTACACACCAATCCCAGTTCCTACTCCCGTTTCCCTCCCATTTCCTCCATATAACCCCACTCCACCCCACTCCCATCCACTCCTCAGAGAATGCACATTGCTTTGTGGAAGTCCAAGGCTATATCTAGGCTGAGCAAGGTATCCATCCAAAAAGAATAGGTTCCCAAAACCACCTACAAGCAGTAGGGAAACTCAGTCTGCCACAGCCATCCAGCTGTCACCCACATTCAGAGTGACTAGTTTGGACCTATGTTGCTTCCCCATTTAGAATTTTTGATGCTGTCTATTTAGTGTGTGTGTGTGTGTGTGTGTGTGTGTGTGTGTGTGTGTGTGTATAGAAAGGGTTGTAGTCTTGACTTTCAGGTAAAGTGCTCTATAAACCAGGCTGGCTTTAAACTCACAGAGAGCCATCTGCCTCTGTCTCCCAAATGATGGAATTAAAGGTGATCTCAACTACCACCTGTCTTAAGGCAGTTTTGTTCTGTAAAGTAAGTGTGGCTTTAAACTGATTGTAATCCTTCTGTCTCTAAGTACCGGGATCATCGGTTTGGACCATCATGCTAATGTTACACAGCTTTCTTGATTGTGCTCCCCATCACACCAGGAATAACACTCATCAGTTAGTTAGCTTTTCCACCAAAAGTACAGTCAGACAGGGCCTTGCAGTCAGGGATAGTCTAGTTTAACTAGAACTGCAGACCCTGCCTCTACGGTAATATAGTAAAACAAGTCCTTGCATTCTTAGAGATCCTCCCCTCTTTGGTTTTCTTGGGACATGGTCTGGCTATGTAATGTAGCCAAATTGACATTGAAAACCTCTTTTTTTTTTATCTTTTATCCTTTCATTTATTTATTTTAGGTTCTCAAAACAGGGTTTCTCTGTGTAACAGCCCTGACAGTCCTGGAGCTCACTCTGTAGAGCAGACTGGCCTCAAACTCACAGAGATCTGCCTGCCTCTGCCTCCCAAGTGCTGGGATTGAAGCCATGGGTCATTCTGATTCTATTTTTATTTTTAAATTTAATTTAAAAAATTAAAAACTTTCTCACTGTGTGTCTTAGGCTGGCCTTGACTCATCAGCCTCAGGCAGGCCTTTATCTCCCCAGTGTGAGAGTTATAGGCATGGTCCATAAAAACAGCTTTTTTGTTATTTTTTTTAAGATTTTTTTTCAATGTGAATGAGTTTTTCACACGTGTGTACCATGTGCATGTTTGGTGTTCATGAAGGGTAGAAGCGTATATCTGATTCTTAGGAATTGCAGTTACAAATGGTTGTGGATGCTGTGAATTAGACCCTGATCCTTTGGAAGAATAGTCAGAGCTCTTAACAACTGAGCCATCTCCAATATCCCATGTTTTATTATTTGTTTGTTTGGTTGGTTGGTTGGTTGGTTGGTTGGCTGTTTTTGTTTTGTTTTCATTTGTTTTTTGTGGCAGAATCTTCTTATGTAGCCAAGGATGTTTGTAAATTTAAAATATTTCTGTGTCTCCTCAGTGCTAGGAGTAAGGGCTAGGTGTGAAACACCACACCCTCATTTTCTGCTTTCTTTTTCTTTAGTATATAATATTATTTTATCATTTCCTCCTTTTCTCCCCTTTGTTGAGTCGAGTGGGGGGAGGGGGGGTCACGCAAAGATGCGGACAGCCACCAAAGTTCAATAAACCAGAAACAAACTTTATTCCAGAAACCAGAATCCAGGAAAAAAATAAAAATAAAAAATCTCCATGGTACACAAAAAGCTTATCAGATACCTGAGACCACAGCCAGAGATGGTTTTTTTTGTTCGGCTGTGGCAAAAGGCTGGTTTCTGAACCCACCTTTTTATGGTAGGGGCACCAAGCATTAGGTCTGAACAAAGGAATTTTTACAATATCGAGGTAAAACTTTGATACACATTGCCTTATTTTACAATAAAGAAGAAGTTGGTTCTTTTCTTTCACTAACTGAGTCCCAAGGATGGGACTCAGGTGGTCAGCCTTAAAAGCACTGAGGCATCTTGCAAGCCCATGGCTTTGTTGTTTGGCTTACAGTTTCAGAAAATACAGTCCATCATAGTGTGGATGGGTGATGCTTCCACCATTGTTGTGGCAACTTTTGGCTATTCTAACACTTTGAAAAAGAGATTGGAGTACTAGTAAGGCCGGATGGCTATTTTCCTCAAATCTCTTTTTGCACAAACCCACTTCTGCCAACTAGGTTGCCCTTATCAAAGATTCAATGAATACCAAGGCACCAAATCACCCGTGACTGGGGCTGAAGTGTTCAAACACATGAGCCCGCGCAGGACATTTTATCTTATGTATATTTTATCCTTTGGTTATAACACTGTCCTAATAGCCAAGTTAAAAACTGGTTTTCCTGATTTACAATGTCAATTCTTCTATTTGACTTTCAGGATTCTGAGTAATTAATGCTTCCATGAATATCTCAGAAGGACAGATGAACAAAGAAAGGAACAGGTATCTAACTCTATTAGGTAAGCAATTGTTGAAGGCTTATTTCTGGAGGCCAGCACTTTGGAAACTGAGCTAGGGCTCAGTTAGGGCTGCATAATAAGACTCATCTCAACAGCAACAACAACAAAAAGAAAACAACTCTTTTTCCCCTTTGGCCATTTTGTGTTGTTTGTTGCATTCAATAGCTTTTCTAAGACTGAGCTAGCCTTACATTTCTGGAAAAACTTTATACTCCCAAGGACTTTTAATTCAGTTTGTTAAATTTGCTATTTATAATTTTATTCTTTGCTTTAATTCGTTAGTGTTTTATTTCTGGGTTCAAATTTTGAGTGGGGGATATTGACAGTCTTTGTCATTTGTTGATGGACTCACTAATGATTGGTTTTTCGCCTGCTTTTTCCAACTAAGGAGATATCAAGCATATGCCATGCAATTAAATATGCTTTAATGGCATCATTTTAAAACTAGCACGCAGTATCCCAATGTTTGAATAAAGGCAATTGACATACATTCGCTATTTAGACTCTGGCAGTTACTCTTCTCTCTTCCTCCTTTTTTCTGCTGTGCTGGAGGCTAGAACCCAGGAGTGTTACAGGCTAGGCAAGCACACTTCCATGGAGCTACCCTCCAGCCCAAACTGCTCTAGATTTACATAGAGAAAGTTAAAGTTAGCATGCTTGTAGTTATAGGTCAGTTGTTAAATATCATGCTGATTTCCTAAGATTGGATAAAGTGGATAGTTCTTGTAGTGACTATCAGACTAGACATTGTCACACATAACACATTGATACTTATAAACTATATTAAGTATTTTTTTTTAAAAAAATTCACCAATTGCAAGATGAATATAGTGGCTCATGCCTGTAACCTCAGCAGTTGGAAGGCTGAGGCTGGAACATCACTGCAAGATGGAGGCCAGCATGTACTGTATGTTATGTAATTCTGTTCTCAAATATCACCAAAAAAGGAAAGAAAAACAATTTTAATGTTTGTGAAAGCAAAACATATTCTTTAATATTTTATTTTGTGTATTTTTTTATTCCTAATAATATAAGACAAGATATTTCTTGGCTCTTTGAGTTGTATTTCCTGTTGTTGTTGTTTTTGCAGTTTTGTGAGACAATTTCTCCTTGGCTGTCCTAGAAGTAGCTCTATATATCAGTCCTGCTTCTGCCTCCCAAGTGTTGGGAATTAAGGCATGTGACATCACGCCCAGCTTCCATTTGATTTTTGTTTAATTCTTTTCTTTACTGTTTGTATTTGTGAGTGAGTTAGTGAGTTGAGGTGCCCATTTGTGTTGCAGTGTGGAGAAAGGACAGCTTTCAAGGCTTGCCTTCTCTCACTGAGCCAGGTTCTCTTGTTTCTGCTGTGTGCTTGGCATCATTCGTACTGCCTTGCACTCCTTGCTAGTTTGCCTCAGCTTTCGGGGGAATTTCATTATACTTTCCTTCTCACTGTAGGAGTGCTGGCTTTCAGATGGGTCCTGCCAAATCCGTCTTTCTCCACTGAGCCATCTCCCTGACCCTCCTTCACATTTGCAGTGCTGGGAATAGAGCCCACAGTCTCAAATACGTTAGACAATTTGAGTTTTTTTGTTGGTGCGCTGGTGGTTTGATTTCGCAAGACAGGGTTTCTCTGTACCCCATGCTGTCCTGGAACTTGCATTATAGAGCAGATTGGCTTCAAACCCCAACCTCTTCCTCCTGAGTGCAAGGGTGAAGGCCTGAGCAACCACATACCTGACTACGTGTGAGTTTCTTACACTGAGTTGCAACTTCGAAGTCTGTTTGTTTGTTTGTTGGGAATTTGACTTTTATTGTGGTTCAAGACATGTGATGGAACATATCAGCTTTAGACAATCGGTTTGATTTAGTTGGTTTTTGAGGCAAGGTATTATATATAACCTAGGGAATCTTGGATCTCACTATGTATTCAGGCTGGACACAAACTCTTAACTTAGTTTCCTAAGGGCTGGAATTAAGGCTTGAGCAACCAGGCTTGATCACATATTGAAATTTATTATCTCATGTTTCAGATATTTTTGTCTGGCCTAACCTAAAAATGTATCAAGTTCAAGTATCCCTTTCTTTCTTTCTTTCTTTCTTTCTTTCTTTCTTTCTTTCTTTCTT